GCCGCCTCAAAGCACATCACCAAGTACAAACGTGGTGGGACGTTTCCCGCACCGTCACGTTACGTCTCTAGTTTGCACACATGATAGAGAATGATCTCGAGCAATGCCGTTCAAATTAACCTTCACGTGGATTAGTTGTGTTCACGTCCAAAACTGAGGACTGATGTGATGGAGACGTTCCTGAAACGTTCCCAGAGACGCTTGTGGACCGTTGCGCGATCATCAAAACTGGAACCCGGACTCATCTTGGAAGCGAGAAGAAAGACAACACAGTTAGGAAAACAACACCCAAAGCAGATGAGAAATTGGACAATTCAGGATCATTCAGATAAACTTCACTACGAAGCGGGCGAGAAAAGAAAAAAACACACATTCATACAACCGGAACTGCCACGCAGACAGGATTGTAAGCAGGGCTAACATTTTTCCAAAACGAATCCATATTTAGAAAACAACATCGACAAAACAAGTGTTAGTTACTTCAGGAGTACACAACTTCCCATGTGTTTGAACTCGATTTCGCTATGACCTCGTCCAGCCATACGATCAATACGAGCTAGAGTTATCTTCCCTGAAGCGTCTTCAAGTTGCTACCTGTCCGACAGGGGACTCTGACCTGACATACACTGTCATGCTTGTGGGACCCTCGCTTTGGTAACGAGGACGCTTCTATAAACACTCGCTAGCGACGAGACATCTCAAGGGGATTTCAGCTCAGCACGTTTATAACTATTGTCTATAGTCAGGTAAGGGTGAAATCTACACGAATCTATTTCAGCTTGTTTACCCGAACCTCAGTACATTGATTGTTGTATCTATAAACAACGGTGAGCATAGCAAAGCAATAAACATGCAAAGCGACAGGTGCTTGGTCGTCTCTTAGGTTTTGTCTTTACGATCGAAATCGGAACATGTACAGTTTGGTAGGACGCGTGTACCTCTGGTTGGTTGGCATTGATTACTGTGTATTAATCGACCCAGAGAGGCTTATCAGTGACCCTGCATTAATAATGCAGGGATGTAATTACCTGTACAGCCATCGAGACAGACAATCAGGGATAGAGTGATGGCCGTTTACAATCACAAGTGACAGCTATTCGTGTCTCGATGTTATAAAATCACATTTCATCGTATTTATATATCGAAATAATAATTAGCGAAAATAACATGTATAATAGGTAGTGTTTTACGGAAGCTGTCGTGGACGGAATTAGGATCTAGCATGACAATATAAACGTATCGACCACAGTTGGGACTGCTGTTGTTACAGTTTTATGTATGGCTGATATACGATACGTCCCTTTCAATAGCTCGTCGACGTACTTGTATGTTTAATACACTTGCCTCTGAGCAGGTATGGGTTTTCGAGACTGATTAAAAATGTATTGTCCAAAAATCGAAACAAAATGCTAAATGGCATAAATTTGAATACAACTACGTGAAATAGTCTTGATAGTTGTTAATTGAAAATACTACTCAGTTTGCTTTATGGTAGGATGATATTGGTGACTGCTCAGTTTAATGACACAAGGTGTGGTTATATTAATAATAAAATAATAAGTCATCTTCTATAGCGCACACTTTCCAAACACCAAGTGATTTCTCGCTGCGCTTTATCAGAATCTTATTGTTATTACCCGGATAACCCAAGCTGCTGGAAGGTTATAGTCATATGACTTTATCCAACCGGGTACCAATTTTCTGCTGGGTGAACAGACGCAATTTTGAACAAACTCACTTGCCTAAGGTGAGACCACATGTATCACATGTGCTTCGTTGGGGGGCAGGACTGAAGTCCTAGTAACTCTCAGGAGTTGAGCCAAACAGCTTGATTTGATAAATGATTTATACTAGAATATCGCACTGTGGTCATGAGTGATATGATTTGCATGCTGCAGCAGCTTGTCATACCTGTATGACCAGGGTATTGTCTACCGGGAGACATACTGTTGTATATACCATGTCCAGACAATAACAACTGTGTACATATATAGCAAAGTTCACTGGAAACTAACACACACCTAACACAACAAACACTCCCGAGTCCACTCAATAACACCCTAACCTACAAAGCCTTAGGTATATTTCTGATCAGAACTAGCCTTCCAGGTCGCACATAATCCCACATAAATAAATTGTACCACATAACCCGACAAAATCAAAAACAAAACATAAAAACATACACCAAGCAAACCACCCCGTACTTCAGCTCCCCCTACCACTTCTAGCAAATTTCCAAACTAAGAATTAATACATATTTAATTATGTAACCCTAACGCCCCTCCTCCGGTTGCCACGTCTATCGGTCAAATCAACCCTCTTTTGATCAAACACTGAATGGCCTGGGGGGCCTGTGTGAGAAATACGCACGATGTCGGAAAATGAAAATCTGCATCACTTCTAGCTGTCCCACACATTAAGCCGCGTTATAACGGGAATGCTTTCCAAGCGTCGTTAAGCCAACTCACCAACTCAACATAATAACATTAGAGGGTTTCCTGAAACAGTAATGGCTTCTCTTCAGTTTTACATATAGAAAAGGAATCAAACGTAGTCCATTCCAGAAATCAGAACATCTTCGTGCCACGACCTGTGAACACGAAGCAACAAAACCTAAAATCGGAAATGTTTCTCTGAGGAAGTGTTCGAGATTTTTATTTATAAGAAACATATCTTATTTCGAAAACGAAATATTGTCTCGTCTTTCAAATCTACAACACAATTGCCACCACGATAGATCCGTAGCTATTTGCTAACCTGAAACCAGTATGGTTTGTCTGACCGGTGCATCGAGGGTATACATTAGTTCCTTTCACGCTAGGGTAGCTGCAGTACTCCAGAACCCACAACCGTATCAATAATGTTTGACCGGGACAACACGTCAAACGATCGTGTTGCACGTACACAATGAGCGCTCTAAACTTATCTTCCTATACGGCGTGTGTTCACAATGAGTCAGTAGTTACCAGTCTAAGGGCAGCGGAATACAAGAGAGAGGTCGCATAAACTGCGAGGGGTTGTGTTTGTGTTTTGACGCTCTCGTCTAGGGTGTCGTGTGCATTGCTTTGTGATAATGATTTGTCGTCTGCTTTGCTGTGTCGTCTGCTTTGCTGTGTTTTCTGCTATGGCTTGCCGTCAGTTTCCTGTGTGGCTTTCAACAACCTGATGTTTGCTGTAGTCTGTGGTTTTCTTTGACGCATCGCCTGCTCAACCATATCCCCGCTTCAATTTGTCAGCTCTATGGTGCCGTCTTGGTTCGTTTGTTGTCTTCTGTGACTTTTGTTTGTTGTTTGTTGTCTTGAAGGTTCCTTGTATCCGGTGATTGTAAGAACAGGCGAGATAAAGTAAAGAGGAACTGGCTTTGCCTACCCACGTGTCCTAGCACTGCTTTCATTGATTGGTCCACACTTGATAATCTGTAGGCAGCTCTGAGATATGATGCACCTGCGTGTAACGACTCTCACTCACACACTCACTCACTCACGCCTGCTAGGACGTGAAGTCTATTGTCGTCTGTTTTGTCAGCATTGTCTTCTGTGGGGGTTGTAGTTAACATACCAGTATTGTCATTCCATATTAACTTTCGGGAATACAGAAATGTCTCATCTATCTAAGTTAGTGATCTTGATATAAACTGTCGCTGATAAATATACCCTGGTTCCTTATTTTGAGGATATTTAGGGTAAGTATTGTTTAGACCAAGAGCGGTGGTGGCGTAAGAGCTTTGCAACGGGAGACAAGTCACATTTTCACTCTTCAAATATGCATGTTGCAGAATGGGCTACAGGCAGTGATATCACCACACAGATTGGCATATTGTATGGCATACTGATTTGTTTATTTGGTGAAATAACATCATTACCTTGTCCTTCCCAGTCCGTGGTTTACACTGCTGTACATAAGTGCAGCGTTGGTTCGGCCTTTGACAGCATCTATCTTATACATCAGCTATTTATGACGTATATGTATATATTGTCGTATGTCAGTGACGCATAACATGTCAATTGATGTTTGTCAATGTCGTGTATATTTGAATTGCTGTTTGTCAAAGTCGTGTATATTTGAATTGTTGTTCGTCAATGTCGTGTATATTTGAATTGTTGTTCGTCAATGACGTGTATATGTGAAGTGTTGTTCGTCAGTGTCACGTATATGTGAACTGTTGTCCATGTGAAGTGCCCAATGTCCATATATGAATTGTTGTTCAATGACGTGTATATGTGAAGTGTTGTTCCAGGCAGAAATGTTAACCATATATGTGAACGTTGATATTTGAATTGTTGTTCGTCAACTGTTCAGGATGTCAGGGCAGCAGACCAGCCCTAATGTCGTAACCATATCCCGGATCAACTGTTGTGTTGTCATGTCGTCATGTGAAGTGTTGTTCGTCAGTGTCATGTATATGTGAACTGTTGTTTGTCAATGTCGTGGGCCATGTTAACGTATTCGTCAATGTATATATGTGATATGTGTCAAGTAAATATGTTAACTGTTGTTCGTCAGTGTCGTATATATGTGAACTGTTGTTCGTCATGTGATATTTGAATTGTTGTTCGTCAATGACGTTTCATATGCCAGTGGCAGAAGTTGTTCCAGTCAGTGTCGTAAACGGATGGATAACTGTTGTTCGTCAGTGTCGTGAATATGTGAAGTGTTGTTCGTCAGTGTCGTAAATATGTTAACTGTTGTTCGTCAGTGTCGTAAATATGTGAACTGTTGTTCGTCAGTGTCGTAAATATGTGAACTGTTGTTCGTCAATGACGTTTCAGGATGCCAGTGGCAGAAGACTGTTGTTCCAGGCCAGACAAAATAGGCAGAAACGTCACGGATCCCGGATCAACTGTGTAAGTGTTGTTTGTCAAACCACGATATACGGATCAACTGTGTATGTGTTTGTCAGTGACGATATATGTGAATTCCCGAATGTCAATAACGTATACATGTGAATCGTTTGCCAATATGTATATATGGGACTTGTTGTTTGTCAATGGTGTTACAGAATGCCAGTGACAGAGTGCCAGCCCGACCAGACGAAGGAGACGAAGCAGGCCCGACCCGGGGATATCCAGGTACCTGACTCTGACCTTTACTTGATAACACTGATGACCCGCGATAAACACAAATATTGGTGTATTAAGTTTTTCACGGGTGGTGAACTGAATGTGTATTCACGGGTGGTGAACTCAATGTGTATTCACGGGTAGTGAACACACATGTGTATTCACGGGTGGTGAACTAAATGTGTATTCACGGGTGGTGAACTACATGTGTATTCACGGGTGGTGAACTAAATGTGTATTCACGGGTAGTGAACTACATGTGTATTCACGGGTGGTGAACTACATGTGTATTCACGGGTGGTGAACTAAATGTGTATTCACGGGTGGTGAACTAAATGTGTATTCACGGGTGGTGAACTAAATGTGTATTCACGGGTGGTGAACTAAATGTGTATTCACGGGTGGTGAACTAAATGTATATTAACGGGTAGTGAACTAAATGTGTATTCACGGGTGGTGAACTAAATGTATATTAACGGGTAGTGAACTAAATCTCGGGCGATTTTGCTGAGTTGTCCAGGTGGCCACAAACTGTATGTTGAGCAGTGTGCCTACTGCTGTTGAACCGCGATTGAAGGCACATAGTAACGGTGCTAAACACGTCAGTTTCCTGGTGTGTAACTGAGCAGTGAGTGTACTGTCCACAGGTGGAGCCAGCACAAGGCGAGGCTCTGCTGTTCTTTGTGTATCGGAGTGAGTTTGACCGCCGCGTCAGGAACGCCATTATCAAATTCAGCGGGAGGATCAAGTCTTATGGCGGGAAGATCCTCGGCATCTCCACACATGTGAGCACACAGTTGCAACTCATCCTTCACAGAATAAACATGCCAGTCTTTTGTCAGCAACCAGTTTAACTGAAACCTATTATATTTGACATTACGCTTTCTCCGTAAGTACGGATTCGAGTACTATGGCACTGAATCCCATCCTGCATTCGAACCCACAATCAGTCAGGCACGTACCCGTCAGCACACAAAGTCAGCTACCTAACATCCTTACTCAGCCAACGCAGCTCCCACAAAACTAGAAGTGTGACAAACTGGCAATGAAGATGACGTCTCCAAATGACGGAAGTCCTGATCGGGATGTTATACTTCCGACCTGGGTCATGTTCCAAGCTAGCAGGTGACACTGGCCTGCAGTAGCGGTCAGCTGCCCTTGAGCCAATCAACCATGATCTCAGGCATGAGTGCGTGAATATAGTTTTAGCAATGAAAAAAATGGGCTTGGCGTAGTATAACATATGAGAATGTCTCCATGTTCCACGATGGCACTCTTGATGACAAACCTGAACATATTCAGTTCATGTTGCTAATATACCTTAGCATGTTCCTGTTATGGTTGTTTCATCCCAACACACTGGTTGTTCTTGCTTTGCCTTGTTTCGTAAACCTGGGTCTGGTGGCCAGCTACCACGGAATGGTATCCTAATGTGATAGATATGTGTGCGCAACACACGCACACGCACACACACATACGATCACGTTTTACGCACGGGCATTTCCAGCACGCACGCACACACACAGTATGACTTCACGCATATTACACACACACACACACACACACACATACGATCTGTTGTTGTTTTTAGTCACAATTAGTTTCTTCGTAGGTGACAGTTTCCCGCATATTACTCTACGTTCGTAGGTGACGGTGACGGCTCCAGAGGGACAGTGCCCATGGCTGCGCCGGAGTGACTCTTGTTCAGTGTGACGGCCATTGCCTTCCCCTCACAGCACAAGGCCAGGTTCTGGTTCGTCAGTGAACCGGATGTGAAGCAACACGACTTCCCGCCCATCTCAGATGGCTTCCAAGTATTCTCTGTCCCCATCAGATATATCCCCAAAGTCGGTAAGAGAGGTGACAGGATGACTTCCCGCATATTACTCTACGTTCGTAGGTGACAGTGATGACTTCCCGCATATTACTCTTCGTTCGTAGGTGACGGTGACGGCTCCAGAGGGGAGCCCATGGCTGCGCCGGAGTGACTGGTGTGTGACGGCCATTGCCTTCCCCTCACAGCACAAGGCCAGGTTCTGGTTCGTCAGTGAACCGGATGTGAAGTAACACGACTTCCCGCCCATCTCAGATGGCTTCCAAGTGTTCTCTGTCCCCATCAGATATATCCCCAAAGTCAGGTAGCTGATCGGTATTGTTTCAATCAGAAGCACAGTTATATCCCCGCAAGTTCTAGTGAAAAGAGTAACCTCTACGGGACAGCATTGAAGATAAGCACGTGGTTGATAAGGTTGATAATATGTGACACTCCAAATCAGCTATGTTAGATCCAGGACAGAACGCCCAGATGGCCACAGCTCAAGACAATATTAAGTGATTAACCTGTAGATATAGAGGCAAAACAGTACATCAGTAAATCAGTTTTGAAAGAAAATTGTTCCAAAATATGTTGCAAATGTTGTTTTGTGTCTGTGTTTCCTTTGTGACACGAGCATCCACTCTACGGCCCCTCAGTTAGTAATTGTAGGGGATTTATTCAATATTTTGGGCACAAGTTTTAAACGAAATAATTCTCCACTGATTTTGATGTCCTTAAATAGTCCTTCAATTCCTTCTCTGTGCTCAGTTTCCCGAACACCTGGTGTCATGACTGATTTTCAGTCGTCCTTTCATGTGGGTTTGACAGCTATTGTGTAGATGGAATCTGTTTCCCAGGACAGTCAAGACAGGGTATTCTTTTGCAACGTTTTATGTTTACGCCTAAAGCGATCCCTGATCACCAGATTTCGGGCCGGTGTCCTAGATTTCCCCTTATGGATCTCAACAAACAGTAAACGTCAATGTCAAGTGAAATAACAGTGTTCACTCACTCACTCAGGCCGACAGACGTACTGCTGGACGGAGATCAGCCGCATCAGGAGCAATGGGTCGTACCAGGCGGAGTACGTGGACAAAGTGTCCAACCTGTTCGACAGCAGGGGCGTCAACCATGGCCTGGTCTTCATCAAGGAGAAGGAGGCCTCCCAGCTGGACAGACTGAAAGATTGCTGGATTCAACAGAACGCCCACTTCAGGCTCGACTTGTACAACTCGGAGCAGGAGTACTGGGAGATCTACAACACAGGTTGGTCTTACAGGGAAGACGTTTCGGAAGAGGGTGGTACGGGCTGGTAGGGGATGTGGTTAGAGGGCGCTTAGTGTTACAGAGGACGGGTGTTACAGAGAGGATGTTTCATAAGAGGATGTTTCATAAGAGGGTGTTACAGGGTGTTAGGGGGTGTGGTTACAGAGCTCTTAGTGTTACAGAGGACGGGTGTTACGGAGAGGATGTTTCCGAAGAGGTATGGGGTGGTTCGGGGTAAAAGCGGTTGGGGTTAGAGGCCGCTTAGTGTTAGTGTAACAGAGGACCTGTGTTACAGGGGGGATGTGTCGGAGGAGGGGTGTGGTTAGAGGGCACTTAGTGTTACAGAGGACGGGTGTCACAGGGAGGGAGTTTCGGATGGAACAGGGAGAGGTTGTTAAGGGATGGGGCTACGGGACAGTTGTTGTGGGTGCTATTACGTGGCGGTTGGTGGTTCAGGGAGGTAGGGCGGTGGGGGTAACAAAGAACAGGTGTTATGGGTGTTAGGTGTTACAAATTACGTCTAAGGCGCTGACAAAAACATGAAAAGGTAAACGATCAGTAATATATTCTCTTGGACATTGCACCATTTAATGTCCTTCTTTGTTGACGAATTATACAAAACTCATCCCATACAATTGAAAACATTTTTAAAAAGCTTAAACTTTCTGAAGAATACATAGTGTTGGTCCTTCGCCTGTGTTTTCACTCATTGACTTGTGCGATTTAGAAATGTTGGTGTTATGGTGGACAGAACGTATATTTGGTTTAATGGTGGACAGAACGTATATTTGGTTTAATGGTGGACAGAACGTATATTTGGTTTAATGGCCCCGTCTCCTCTCCCCAGATTCCTTCCAGCAACTGAAGGAGACTCGGGAAGGCCTCAGTGAAACGACTACAGTTCTCTTTACCGTCGACCCCAAGATCTCATAGCCGCCTTCTTAACATATTACACAACTATTTTAACAGTGAGCTTTCATTAGGAAGAAAAACTATGAAATTACATCCTGTATAAAATGACCAGGTCAGCTTTCCTCCGATTTTTTCTTTTGCGCAGAAAACTCGTCAGCATTCACGGCAGCATATTTCAGGAAATAAAAAATATTTCTTGTGATAAATTATAAAATTGATATTCGATTGGTATTCATTGTCGGATATGACCAAACATATATTGATCGCATTGAGACTTTATACACGGTATATTGTAATTGCATATGGTGGGAAACGGCTCTATATCCGTTTTGATGGCCTAATCTTTCAGGGCGCCGTTCCACTAACCGATTTTTTCTAAGATCAATCTTAGCAAGGTACGCCAGTTTTACAATCGTCTTAGCTAAAAGTTACACCCGTTCCACTAACCGATCTTAGGCCGATCGTAGCCGGTCCCGATCTTACGATCCGATCCAAGCTTAGATCGAGACTCTTTCGTGCGAGAGACAGAGGAATTCGAGAATATTTACAGCCGAGATTATAAATAATATACTGAGAACAGGTTTTAAGTCTGGACTTTAAAAATGTCAATTGTGTCAGAGCTTTTAATATGTGCCTGAACCTTGTCAGTCAGAATAAACAAGGCGTGACGAGGCTATAACCTATGTAAAATCTGTCAGTGGTCTTGAATAACACGCGGCCTGCCTTTAGAATCCCCCACCAAATATGCGCAGTGAAATCAAACATATTTGTATCTTTTTGCTTCAGAACATTGTTCACTTCATGGCTGTCCCTATTCTTAACCATGACGTAGCAATATTGTTGTACAAATGTGTTACACCGACTTGCTCGGTTGTGTTCCCATGACGACAGTGGTCAGACTGGCCTGACATTTGTAAGGCTTCAGTGCAGTGTTTGTTTACATCACAGAAATATACAAATTCATTTCATGGGGGACTTTAGGGGACGCCCACGGTGAAATGCTCGCTCTTATTTTTCACATAGAATAGGAAAGCCACCATTTTGGTTTCTCTACGATTGATTTTAGCTATCCTAAGTTGGTCATGAGCAACTTAGATTTGAATCTTAACTTTACGTTTGACTTGGGTAAGATTGGTTAGTGGAACGGTATGCCGATCGTAACGTCACGCTAAGATTGGGATTTTAGGGGTTTACGATTGGCGTAGGGCTAAGATCGGTTAGTGGAACGGCACCCAGGCTATTACTATAGTTTTATAATATTGAACAGGAAGTGGTCGTTTAAAGCCAGTAGTCCGCAATATCATGCCTCTATATTACTCAAATTTTGCTAAGGAGCACCACTTTAAAAGGTAAATCGTCTAACAAAGACAATAATGCGTGAAGAAGTCTATCTTTGAAGAAAAGGCCCCTGTCATACAATGCTACAGACCAATATGGTGCACACAGTCAGTCAGGACACACGTCAAAATGATATCTTCACGTAACTGAAACGTCCTAAAAAGTAATGCATCGTCAAAAAGAACCAGATCGCCAATCCGTGTGATGCGATGAGAGCCTGAGATATCTCAGGTCTTCCCGTGTTGGATGTATTGTCTATGTCCACAAAACACGATCCTCAGTATTAATTTGAGTAGTGTATTTGTAGTATTTCAGAAAGATGATAATATCCGTAAGCTCCCGAGTAAACCGATTTTAATTTAGCTCAGCTGAACCTGTTGCATGATGTAATTGGTACGACTGACACCCGAGGTTCTGCCATTGTTTTCTGAAACGTGTTACAAGATTGTTTTCACCATCATTTTGAATTTTTAAACAATATGTGTCTGCCTTCCTCAATATACAGTTTTAGTTTACTTTTAAGCCAGCAGTATTAACCCGTTCAAGACAGATATGTGTTGAAGTATACCCATTCCGGACAGATATGTGTTGAAGTATACCCATTCCGGACAGATATGTGTTGAAGTATAAGTTGTATACCTGATTCATATAAGCATTTACACTGAGTTTACGACGTGTATAAAGCCACAATCACTGAAGTCACGTGACACCTTGCCAAACCTGTATATGAGCTGCGTTTTACTTCCAAATCATTAAGACCCGCCCATGAGTGTTGTGTTCCGAGGTTTCTTGAGGTTTCAATCGTTCAGTATTCTGTGATATTGTCTACAATACCATGATGGGAAACTGGCCGCATGTGAAGGTCGTGTCGATAAAAAGTGTGAAACGGTTGAGTTCCCCAATTACAGTTGAGTTCCCCAGTTACAGTTGAGTTCCCAGTTACAGTTATCCTCATCAGATGAAAACGAATAATTTGGGGAATCGGAAGCATTCTTTTCCCCATTAAGTGTGAAGCGTTCGACCCTGCAGTCCTAATCTTTACAACACTCACCCTCAGTTGGGTGTTCTCAGCTTCACTATTGTTACCCTCAGTCCATCTTTGATTCGTGTATGATTGCTTGATTGTATTTTTACATATGCTTCATTTTATCTCTTGTTGATTTTTATGCAGTTAATTGCCTTTACTTATCCTGATATTACGCCAATATACCCATTTGTTCTAGTGCTGTATCTCTGTGTACTATTATATATCACTGTTATTCAACAGGGAATAAAGGTCAGTTATTATTCGAGTTGTGTTAATGTTTTGTGTCCGAGGAATGTGTTAAAGTATGTTGGCATATGACGGAGCAGTCAGCAATATTCAGCTGTTCTAGGGGCAGCCTGTAAATCCGACGGCCAATCTCTGGTAGCACACTGTTCATGCAGTTTGGGTTGGAAGGCTCACAGTTGACGGGTTTCCTCTCAAATCGAGGAACGGCGTGATAAACGTTGCATTTAAAAAAAAAAAAATTGCTGAATGAATTGCAATTTTTCAGCTTGCTAGTACAGTGTAAATCATAAACCCACAGAACATTCAAATACATAAATGTTGCAGATGTTAGAATGTTTCCTTTCTCAAAGACATCAAATCTTTGAAGGGCATTTAGAAGTAGAATACAAAGGAAAAGCAAGATTTATGGATGTCAACTTCTTTATTGTAAATAACACAATTGTCGGATTAACAATTGTTATTCACAATAAAGAAGTTGACATCCATAAATCTTTTTTTTCCCATAAATCTTTATCAAAGACATGTTACGAACATCACAGTATCGTGGAGTGCAAAGTGACACACTGCACCCCATTATTCCACTTCCACATCTACTGTGTAAACATTCTCACTTTCTAAATAATTCATGAAGATTCGGATAAAACCTGGACTATATTAACCACCCGTTTGTGGTAAGAAGCGACCGACGGGATCAGATGGGCAAGTTCGCTCATTTGGTTGAAGTATATCACCATATCACAACTTGGTAGATCGACCATGATGATGTTATTCAGTTGGACCAGGTCTGGCAAAGACAGTCGTCCTATAGCCGGAATATTGCGTAGTGCCAACGGAAACAGCCAACAAACTCTAGAAAATCTATCAACTGGGGAATTACTCAGTTTGCAGCGCAGACAATAACATACGAATCAATCATTGTGCATAGTTTTGAGATTTTATAAAACTTCTATCACCTGGCACATACAAGGGTCGTAAATGTTGTTGTATCTGAATGGAAGTGACGCTGTGTCTGGGGCCTTTCTTGTCGGTGCCGCTGTGAGTGAGTGAGTTTAGTTTTACGCCGCACTCAGCAATATTCCAGTCATATGGCGGCGGTCTGTAAATAATCGAGTCTGGACCAGTCAATCTAGTGATCAACAGCATGTGCATCGATTTGCCCAATTGGGAACCGATGTCAACCAAGTCAGCGAGCATGACCACCCGTTAGTCGCCTCTTACGATAAGCATGGGTTAATGAAGATCAATATTCTAACCCGGACCTTCACTAGTAGGCGCCGCTGTGTACAAGTTGAACAGTCAGCCTTCAGGGCCGGGTCTGACAAGTGTGTGTCGTCATACCACGGGGGCGTGGAACAAAGATCATAGTGAGTGAGTTTAGTTTTACGCCACACTCAGCAATACCCCAGCCATATGTCGGCGGTCTGTAAATAATCGAGTCTGAACCAGACAATCCAGTGATCAACATCATGAGCATCGATCTACGCAACGATACGATGACATGTGTTAACCAAGTCAGCGAGCCTGACCACCCGATCCCGTTAGTCGCCTCTTACAAGCATGGGTTACTGAAGATCAATTCCAACCCGTATCTTCCCGGGTTTCAAAGATCATAACAACAGCCTGGATTGTCTGGTTTGACAAGAATATTTTTATGTACGGAATTAACAAGCCCAAAATGACCAGCTAACAAAAAACAAAAAGATCTGGACATTTTGTTGTCAGTAGAAACAATTCCCCAGCTCCTTGGGGCGTGAACATACGTTTGTGCTTTGTTTGTGGTATAACACCGCAGTCAGCAATATCCAGCTATATAACGATGGTCTGTAACTAATCTTACCTCGACCAAACAAGCCAGTGATTAACGGCATCTACCCAATTGGAATAGGACATCCATCGAACATGTCAGCAAGCCTGAACAGCTGACCCCGTTAGTTGCTTCTTGCCACAAGAGCTTATTGTAACAAGGGTTGCTGAAGACCAATTCTAACCAGGATCTGCATGTGTCGACGATGGTCTGAGTCAAATGGAATTATTTGGAAAAAGCTAGTACAACTTAAGGAACTACAGGTACTGGCAATCGTTTACTTGACTGAGCTCGGAAAAGTCAGCAGAGGACCAGCGCATAGTCTTTCACGACAATGTCCACTGTTTGCTGATGTGCTGTTTTCGGACAACTATACACGTTGTTTTGCTTGTTTGCTTGTTGTTTAACCCCGCACGCTGATTTTAATACCTAAAACAAGTTTTAAAAATCATGATCATTCTCCACAATACACCCGCTTTTGGAGGCACTCATAATGCAATAAGCGCACGTGCAGTCCATTCGCTTCCGAGAAGAGCGTGCCGAGCACAGAGGGCCACGACTTTCACGTGCACGGTCAAACACCTTGTTTACAGGCAGCGGTCGACGTGTGTCAGGTCGGGTACCTAACTTGGTCATTCTCTGCAGGTGAGTTGCAAAATATCGGTGTAAGTAACAGGGATTTTGGAGTTCTACGAATCAGTTTCCGCCTTACCAAACACGCTACTGAAATATGCAAGTCTGCAAATAGACACTCGTGTGCCCCGTGGGCGGTGGGGGGGTAGCCTAGTGGTTAAAGCGTTCGCTCGTCATGCCGAAGGGTTTGATTCCCAACTTGGGTACAATGTGTGAAGCCAATTTCTGGTGTCCCCCGCCGTCATATTACTGGAATATTGCTAAAACCGGGGGGCGGGTGGATCGAATGGCTAGGCACTGTGGTAGCATCCGTGGTATGTTGCTTAATATATATATACACACTGGCTATAACTAGGTCCCGTCAATCGGCTGACATATTACCATATAAGGACGAACGATTCACGTGACTATTGTGATCATGTGTCTACTGGTCAGTTGACAGTCTGTGGGAAGCAATTATTCGTTTGATCTGATTTCTGAAGCGGCGTAAAATCGTACTCGCTTTTCTCCTGTAGTATCTTGCTGCCTTACAGGTGACTGGGATCGGTCTTCGTTCAGGGAAACGCCCCGCTCAAGGTGAGGTCAATTTTGTAACGGTTTGCTTTGGTACTTAACATTCAGGCGGTGTTGTACATCATTCGAACTGTCGCACCCCGAACACCTATGGGCGTATATTATATGAACTGACTCTTTTAAGAAATTCTATTTATTCCCCAGAACTTCTAACACCCCACCCCACCCCACCCCACCCATCCCCCCCCCAAAACCCCAACAAAACAAAAACAAACAACAAAACAAAACAAACACAAAACAAAAACCAAAATACGCGTCCCATTTATAATAACCCCATCAATATTCAGGAACAGAATGATAAATAACATGGGTTAAGGGCGGAAATCTTTCCATGATATGGTGTAGATCAGACAATTCAGTGATTTAAAGCACGAGAAACGTCCCACCTGTTGGGAGTATAAGACGCAGACCATACCATACCAACTGTTTACTGCTGTTACAGGACATGGAAATGTGGAGCGTATTCCTTCGGGAATGGGGTAGATACCTGCATACTATTTCCCATAATGCTTAAAGGGGCAATGGGGTAGCCTAGTGGTTAAAGCTTTCGCTCGTCACGCTGAAGACCCAGGTTCAACCCAAATCCCCCCTCCAAGGGCACAATGTGTGAAGCCCATTTCTGGTGTCCCCCGCCGTGATATTGCTGGAATATTGCTAAAAGCGGCGTAAAACCAAACTCGCTCATCTAATGTTTAAAGTTGTTTCGCAATATGTAGCGCTGCCGTATTTCTTTTAGAGCCATGAAGACAATGTGTGTTCAGGGACCATCTTGTCCGTTGACAGATAGTGTTGACCGGTTCGTCAACTTCCTGATGCATCGCGTCCCAGTTGCACAGATCATGGCTGGGTTGTCTGGTAGCGATTATTTTCAGACCCATGTCACTCGAGTGTTGACGGGTGCAGTGAAGACTATTTGCACATCAGTATTCTCTACATCTGTTTCAGGATGCTACTGTTTCTGATGATGATGATGATGGTGGCAGTAGAGGTCAGTGGTTATCATTCAATTTAGTTCACACGAAATATTCGCCAGTGTCTACATGGGTGTTCTAGTGTCTACATGTTCTAGTGTCTAGTGTCTACATGGGTGTTCTAGTGTCTACATGGGTGTTCTAGTGTCTACATGGGTGTTCTAGTGTCTACATGGGTGTTCTAGTGTCTACATGGGTGTTCCATTGTTAGTTGTACAAATGTGACATGAAATATGTATATGATTCGGTTGGGCAGAAATAGCAAGGCATTATTGTGGGAAATAGTTTCGTTGGCGGAAAGTTGCGTTCTTGAAGGTTGATGAGCAGGATCCATATTTTCCATCCCCAGGCCTACCAGTACCACAAGGAAGTGTACGGAGATTACGTACTGGAGAGTGAGTAGATCATGGACATATCTCGACAATATACAGACAATATACAGACAACATACCCGAAAGAATATTCACCACTTATCACCTTTGTGTCTTTAATGCTGGGATAATGTTACACTGTCTCAAACGTGATGTCCTCATCGACACCTTTTTTAAATTGCTACCTGGGGGAGACAACCGAAAGCAGTTGCCACAAGATAGAACATTGTAACACAACTGTAATCATGGGTTTATGTGGACTTGTTTAGAGGCCAATACTCGGCACACGTCTGCTGTTGGTATGGCCACAATTCCCAAATCGGAATAGGACATTTCTGTTCTTTCATTCAGTTCTACCACTGGGTTTCATAACAGGACCTCCAAAGAGAAGGCTTACTTTCGCATTACAATGTTCTGATGCTACAAATTTAGAACATACTGAAATTCACCATTTTGTACAAAACATCTCTCCAGTTGGCCACCATTGGCTTTTCCTTAGAAATTCCAAGATAAATCCATGGTAATACTGTCATGGTTGACTGACACGTACCCCAACTTTAAACCGGCTGGGACCCGTGACGGTCCGGGTTAGAATATTGGCCTTCTGTAACTCATGCTTGTCGTAAGAGGCGACTAACGGGATCGGGTGGTCAGCGTCGCTGACTTGGTTGACACATGTCATCGGTTCCCAATTGCGCAGATCGATGCTTATGCTGTTGATCACTGGATTGTCTGGTCCAGACTCTATTATTTACAGACCGCCGCCATATAGCTGGAAAATTGCTGAGTGCGGCATAAAACTCACTCACTCACTTAAACCGCCTGGTTTACATGTTGACCCTCACAAACATTCTTACCCAAATGTAAGCCGCCTGGTTGACATGTTGACCCTTGCAAACATTCTTACCCCACTGTAAGCCGCCTGGTTGACATGTTGACCCTTGCAAACATTTTTACCCCACTGTAAGCCGCCTGGTTTACATGTTGAGCCTTGCAAACATTCTTACCCCACTGTAAGCCGCCTGGTTTACATGTTGACCCTTGCAAACATTCTTACCCCACTGTAAGCCGCCTGGTTTACATGTTGACCCTTGCAAACCATCATTCCACATTTCAGTGAAGGCGGACTGCCCCACTACACCAACTGGGAGTCTCCCCGTGCTCATTCTGACCGACTTGAATCTGCTTGTCCGCGCCTACTGCAAGGACAATTACACCACACTCGTTCACAGTCGGGACGAAGTAAACTTCGACTTCGATCCTCTTTTTAGGGGGAATTCCAGAGAAGAATGTGTCTTAAATGTAAGTTATATTCCTTAAACTGTTCAGACCCGTGACGGTCCGGGTTAGAATTGATCTTCAGTAACCCATGCTTGTCGTAAGAAGCGACCTACGGGATCGGGTGGTCAGCCTCGCTGACTTGGTTGACACATGTCATCGGTTCCCAGTTGCGCAGATCGATGCTCATGCTGTTGATCACTGGATTGTCTGGCCGAGACTCGATTATTTACAGACCGCTGCCATATAGCTGGGATATTGCTCACTCACTTAAATTGTTCGTCATAACAATATGACCTCATCAGGCAAATACGTACCCATCACATTTAAGATGTCATTCTTCGACCGAGTAGGCGAGTTTAACCACCCGTCCAGGGCCTCGTTCCTCAAACCGATCGTAGCGCTACGGCAGTCGTTAGTCTATGTTAAAGTGTGGGAGTTACGATCATCTTAGCGCTACGGCAGTCGTTAGTCTATGTTAAAGTGTGGGAGTTACGATCATATTAGCGCTGCGACCGCCTTGTGGATTGGGGCCCTGTTTGTCGCATCTTTCGACAAGTAGGGGTAGCTGTAGACCAGTTCGAATCTTTACCTAGGGGGTCACATAAACAAGTCATAGGACGGGAAACCCAGCTGACACATAATGAGCACGTTGACCTAAAGAGTATTCAGTGTGGTGCCTAAATATTTTAATGACAGGCATCAATTATCCAGTGTATTACCTTGGTTTGCTTAAAACCGCTGGCCGTATGGTTGCCACCCTAACCTTCGTTGCAGCTGGGGACGGTGGGGTAGCCAAATGGTTAAAGCGTTCGTTCGTCACGCCGAAGGCCCGGGTTCGATTCCCCACATGGGTACAATTTGTGAAGCCCATTTCTGGTGTCCCCCCGCCGTGATATTGCTGGAATATTGCTAAAGACGGCGTAAAACCATACTCAGTCAGTCGTTGCAGCTGTAATTGGCAAAGAAAACAATTAAATTACAAGCCTACTATATATGGTTTCAACATTATTAGAGTTCATCAATTGTAAACTGTCAGTGCTGGAGGCCAATTATACTGACGCAGCAAAGAAAGTATACACCCGGTGCTTTTGGATTGCTTTTCCGAAAAACAACTTAAATATTTTGAAAAAGCATTTTAAGTGTGACTTAGGAACGTATGGCCGTGGGTTTTTAATACCAGTTGCCTGTATGTTTCTGTATGTCATCCGTGTGGGTTTCTGCCAAGCGGGAAATGTTTGAAACCTGCATACTTCCGGGCGGTTTCTCCACAAGAATCTGACAGGACGTGATATATACTAGGCACATAAAGAAACTGTGCATACAAAAATTTAAAATCTAAATTTATCAAACCTGTGTAGACACATAAGGATTTGAACTCAGAGATTAGTGACATGTATCCAACATGCATGCACGTGCCACGTTCCGTGACGTCAGTGGGTTCGTCCTTGAGACGTGCAATACGTTGATGCACGGGCATTCCGGGAAAGAGAAACAGAGCAAAGTTGGAAAGCTCAACCCCTGCCCTTGCGATCGTTCAAAAAATTAAACGGCTATTGAAACGCATAGCATGCCAAGGCTCACGTCTGCACAACGTCATGAGGCCATTGGGATGGTCCGTGGGGGAATGTCTCAACGACAAGTGGCCGCACATTTCCACTGCCACCGGAACACCATTTCTGCATTGGTGAGACGCTACCAGAACACAAATGACGTCTTCTATCGGCCACGTTCTGGACGTCTACGTGTAACAACGCCAAGACAGGACAGATGGATAAGGGTGACCCATCTTCGCCACAGGTTTCAGACTGCAGTGATGACTGCCCGAACCATCCCAGGTCTTCGCCTTATCCACTCCAACACAGTTCGACAACGTTTACGTCATCACGGGATCAGACCACGACGTCCCGCCATACGGCCTATCCTGACACAACGTCATCGACAAGCTCGCCGAATGTGGTGCCGAAATCATGTCCGCAGACCCTTGTTTTGGTGGAGAAATGTTGTTTTTACAGATGAGTCCAGGTTTAACATTTCCCATAGTGATGGACGTCAACGTGCCTATAGCCGCGTGGGAGAACGTTATGCACAGGCCTGTGTCTGGGAGAGGAATAGCTTTGGTGGTGGTTCCGTGATGACTTGGGGTTCGAATAACAGCACGCCAAAGAACTCCTTTGGTGATTGTTCAGGGCAACTTAACTGGTGTGGGCTACAGGGATCAGATTCTTCGACCTGTGGCAACTCCTTTTCTGCAACGTCATGGCCCTGGGTTAACATTCCAACAGGACAATGCCCGCCCTCATACGGCAAGGGTTGCTATGGATTTCTTGCAACACCACAACGTTGAATTACTGCCTTGGCCTGTAAATTCACCGGATCTCACCACGATAGAGCATGTTTGGGACGAGATGGATCGACGTCTACGCCGTCTTCCTCATCCGCCAGATAACGTCCTTGACCTTGCAACAGAACTTGAGAGAATCTGGCGTGACATCCCACAAGCCTTCCTTGCACGTTTGATAGGCTCTATGCGTCGTCGATGCACTGCTGTTCTCAATGCCAATGGTGGACATACCCGTTATTGAGCTTGTGACATGGTCGTTTGACCCCTGTCCTGCTTGTGGACTCGTGACGTCCCTGTGATTGACTTTTCAATTGAAATTCTCCCCACTTGTTATGGTCTCATGATCCCTCGATTAAAGTTTATATGTACCTTTGACATTGTTATCGTACTTATCAACTGGAATAATATTTTGACAATGCACAGTTTCTTTATGTGGCTAGTATATATATGGAATACTGTTCGTTAAACCCATCAGACTCACTCGCTCTCTTGTAATCAGTCTGCTTTCATGTGACTGAATCTAACCAACTACACGCTGTCGCTACTGTACAACTAATGGAAACATGTCCATGTACGAGGTGCAGTATACAACCTGTAATATTCCTTGTTCTATGTGCAGAAAAACACGGACTCGAACACGTACATATTACATGTGGATTTGGAATACGGAGAACCAGAGTCCCGGGTCCGGCCAATTGTTGAGCCTTACGTAATCACTTGTGCTTACGACCCCCACACAGTACACGGACGTCCAACGAACAAGGTATTGGACGCAGGTACGTACTACCGCCTCCCAACTAACACGGTATTGACGCAGGTACGTACTACCGCCTCCCAACTAACACGGTATTGGACGCAGGTACGTACTACCGCCTCCCAACTAACACGGTATTGACGCAGGTACGTACTACCGCCTCCCAACTAACACGGTATTGACGCAGGTACGTACTACCGCCTCCCAACTAACACGGTATTGACGCAGGTACGTACTACCGCCTCCCGACTAACATGGTATTGGAACTACCGCCTCTCCCAACTAACACGGTATTGGACGCAAGTACGTACTACACTCCCAACCAACAAGGTATTGACGCAGGTACGTACTACGCCTCCCAACTAACATGGTATTGGACGTACTACTACCGCCTCCCAACTAACACGGTATTGACGCGGATACGTAGTACGGCCTCCCATCTAGCATGGCATTGGACGCGGGTACGTACTACCTCCCAACTAACAAGGTATTGGACGCGGATACGTAGTACAGCCTCCCATCTAGCATGGTATTGACGCAGGTACGTACTACAGCCTCCCAACTAACATGGTATTGGATGCAGGTACGTACTACCGCCTCCCAACTAACATGGTATTGGACGCAGGTACGTACTACCGCCTCCCAACTAACATGGTATTGGACGCAAGTACGTACTACAGTCTTCCAAACGCATTGACGCAGGTACGTACTACCGCCTCCCAACTAACATGGTATTGGACGCAAGTACGTACTACAGTCTTCCAACTAACATGATATTGGACGCAGGTACGTACTACCGCCTCCCGACTAACAAGGTATTGGACGCAGGTACGTACTACAGTCTTCCAACTAACATGATATTGGACGCGGATACGTAGTACAGCCTCCCATCTAGCATGGTATTGACGCAGGTACGTACTACAGCCTCCCAACTAACACGGTATTGACGCAGATACGTACTACAGTCTTCCAACTAACATGATATTGGACGCAAGTACGTACTACCGCCTCCCAACTACTAGTAACTGGTATTGGACGCAGGTACGTACTACCGCCTCCCAACTAACATGGTATTGACGCAGATACGTACTACAGTCTTCCAACTAACATGATATTGGACGCAGATACGTAGTACAGCTTCCCATCTAGCATGGTATTGACGCGGGTACGTACTACAGCCTCCCATCTAACAAGGTAGTGGACGCGGGTACGTACTACAGCCTCATGGCGTGTTCAACTGTATTTCAGTGTCTTATGTGTCACCTCAACATATCCGCCTTCCATGATGTTTCTGTCGTCGTATGAGACGTTTCTAATCAATACGTTTACACATCCCGAATGCAGCTATCCTAATCTTCTTTGTTTACAATTATCGTTTTCTTTCCTTTACTGTGATTTGCCTCATGGTATACATGTATAAACGTATTCCAGTTGTTTCCAGGGTCGGGGAATAAAGTAACACGTTCTCAGGTGAAGTTACATTCTCCGATAATGGTTCTCATTCGTTGTTTGCAACGGTACGCATGAAAAGGAATAAGCTCCTGTCCACCATGCTGTTTATAAAAACTGTCTATTTTTGGTTTAACATTTTGTTTTGTGGCGTTATAACTGACTGACTGACTGAGTTTAGTTTTACGCCGCTTTTAGCAATATTCCAGCAATATCAAGGCGGGGGACACCAGAAATGGGCTTAACACATTGTGCCCATGTGGGGAATCGAACCCGGGTCTTCGGCGTGACGAGCCAACGCTTTAACCACTAGGCTACCCCACCGCCCCTGTGGCGTTATAAGCGTCCGTATCTGAGACCTAGCGAGTTAAGTGGCCGATGTGTGTCCTCTGTGTCCCGAGCGTCCGCTGTGTGCCGAGTGTCCGCTGTGTGCCGAGTGGCCGATGTGTGGCCGATTTTTGTCCGCTGTGTGCCGAGCATCCGCTGTGTGTCCGATTGGCCGCTGTGTGCCAAGCGTCTGCCAAGTGTCCGGTGCGCCCAAGTGTGTCCCGATCGTCAGCTGTGTCCCGATCATCGGCTGTGTCCCGAGTGTCCTCTGTGGCCGCTGTGTGCCAACCGTCCGCTGTGTAATGAGCGTCTGCTGTGGCCGCTGTGTGCCAACCGTCCGCTGTGTAATGAGTGTCTGCTGTGGGCCGCTGTGTGCCCGACTGTCTGCCGAGCGGCTGCTGTGTTCCGAGCGTCCGCTGTGTGCCCGAGGGCAGCACGCCACCCTGACATGGCATCACAACATGTTTCAGTTTGATCGCACCCAAAGAGATCCAGGCCAATGAAGGTAAACACGGGGCCTCTCGCCTGAAGCTGCGGGTCGTCAACATCATGGGCAAAAGTACACCCAGGCAAATGAAACGCGGCCACCTGGTGAGACTCGCAGCAAGTTCTGACGGTAAGTCGGACCAGGGCCCTAGGATTATCACTATTCCCCGTCATATTGCACTTTAGAATTGTTTGTTCTCATGCATATTTTTCTTCTGGACTCCCATCTTCCCCCACACCATCTATTATTACACACCTTTATCCACTTGAAGTGCATAAAGGGGTAAGTCAAGAAGAAATATATGCTATCAATTTGTTGGCAGCAGTTTCTGATGAAACTTGTTTCCGTTGCAGCCTCTATGAACTGAGCGGGGCAAGGAAGTAAAAATACAAAATCATGAAAAGGCACTGGTTTAGCATGTATTTGATATGTTATGTAAATTGTTGTGATAAAATATTAAACGGTTTCCTAAATGGCCAGGCAGCAGGGATACAAATCTACCCGAAAATGCTGAGGAAAAATGTCCTCTTGATTTACAAAATCAATATTCTGAATAAAGGAACACAAGGTATCGTTGTTAATAATTATAACAGTACTATCCTTAACAGATCATAGCCATACGTTATTTATACTGTCTACAGAAGTCCTTTCTACTGTCAGCTTTTCTCATGTACCAGTGTGTCTGCCCATGTTCAGGGCGGAATAATGTCCCTTCCCAGTAAACAACTACCCCCAAGATACAAACGGGAGGTTTGTGGGATTATGCCTAGTGTAACAGGAGTATTGTGACCGCATATCGCCTCCGGGCCCTCCCAGTCGTTAACCTAGGACCTGCCGCACCACAGGTCGACAGATGACAGGCTACACCCATGGTAGTGGAATCCTCGCCTTGTGTGCAGAAAAGGGGTTGGGGTCCATAGGTTGGTCCAGACTCAAACAAATACTGTATGTCGCTATAAATCAGGAACAACAAATCACAAGGTATTACTGATGGCCTGGACGCTATGTCGGCCAACTCATTCCATTCGCGCTTCAAAGCAGAATACCACTGGCATGTCTTGGTCAGGTAAATAACAGAGTTGGAAAATTGCCGACGGATGTGTTAATCGACTCATTACTGCTGTCTGATGATGTTTCCAGGAGCTGGCGGGGAGACAGGGCTGCGGGCGACTGCATGTGACGCTGTGGGCAATAACGGCGTACACTACGCTGTACTGAGAGCTGGGTGAGTGAGGGTCAGTACGGGCTGCGGGCGACTGCATGTGACGCTGTGGGCAATAACGGCGTACACTACGCTGTACTGAGAGCTGGGTGAGTGAGGGTCAGTACGGGCTGCGGGCGACTGCATGTGACGCTGTGGGCAATAACGGCGTACACTACGCTGTACTGAGGGTCAGCTGGGCTGCTGGCGACTGCGTGAGGCGTCGCTGTACGGGCTGCGAGTTAGGGTCGTACTGGCTGGGGCGACTGCGTGGGCAATAACGGCGTACACTACGCTGTACTGAGAGCTGGGTGAGTTAGGGTCAGTACGGGCTGCGGCGACTGCGTGGGCAATAACGGCGTACACTACGCTGTACTGAGAGCTGGGTGAGTGAGGGTCAGTACGGGCTGCTGGCGACTGCATGTGACGCTGTGGGCAATAACGGCGTAGACTACGCTGTACTGAGAGCTGGGTGAGTGAGGGTCAGTACAAGCTGCTAGAGTGTCTGGAGCAAACGGGTTCCGCGTCCTTGTGACGACTGAACCCAGTGCATTTTGCCCAGTTTCTTCTTTTAAAGATAAGGTATGACGGCTATATGCTGTTATGATACGTTTCAGTGTATATTCTTATATCGTTGTCCTCGTTGCGCCGAACACCCGGGTTCGATTCCCCACATGGGTGCAATGTGTGAAGCCCATTTCCCCCGCCGTGATATTACTGGAATACTGCTTAAAGCGGCGCAAAACAGTACTCACTTATATCGTTGTCAAGCAAGTGATGTGAAATGCTGTTCAATGCATGTTTCAACGAATTCTTTCACTGTTATGCAGGTTTGTAACAATATTGTTCATTACTGATACACGCTTGCTAAAGAGGGGCGGTGGGGTAGCCTAGTGGTTAAGGCGTTCGCTCGTCACGCCAAAGACCCGGGTTCGATTCCCCACATGGGTACAATGTGTGCAGCCCATTTCTGGTGTCCCCCGCCGTGATATTGCTGGAAGATTGCTGAAAACGGCGTAAAACCAAACTCACTCACTCACTTGCTAACGAACAAGAGTGACACGTGTAACTGTCATGGCTGAAAGCTGGAACGTAAAGTATTTACTATTTTCTTTGCAGTTGTGGAGATGGCATCGTCTTCAAACAGACAGAGGGTTTCACGACAAAGGGTTTAAATGTCTATAGTCCCTTTTTTCGTATCTTCAATCTGAAAAACAGCATTTCTTTGAGATTCGAATGCAACTACACACTGTGCACATCGAACTGCAATGGGGTAGGTACCGGTGTCAAGGGAGACAACCCTGTATGTATTGTAACAAATGCATTTTCATTGAAATCAAATCTTTGTGCTTCCTACCACAATACAAATGTCTTATAAATACACAATACAAACAACTTCATGTCAGAACGATCTTTCACATATTTCTCGGACCAAATTAAATGTTTAGTGAGTCGGCATTAGCCAATCAGAAAGCAGCTTTTACTAGCTTTATGGCACTTTTTTCAAAACGGTAACCTCAGTTACCGACCGCGAGTCAATATTTGAAAACTGAACAAAATTATCTGGAATGTGCAAGAGAAGGTGAGATTGTATTGCAGTAGCTTTTAGTGTTGCAAACGTTTTCTTTCACTGTATTTAACAATCAAAACATAGACATCTAATTACAAACATGAATAGCATTAGTAAAGAGGGTTTCGATACAATCCCTCCCCCTTTAGAAATGATCCAAATGACACAAAACTTACCCTGGAATAATGCATCTATATCATGATAAAGTTGATCTGTAATTCTACGTTGGCAGTAAACATGTTTTAATTGCCAAGTTATCTTCCGGGTCGGAGTGCTGGGGTAGCCCAGTGGTTAAAGCGTTCACGCGTCACGCCAAGGACTCGAATTCGATTCCCCACATGGGTACAAAGTGTGAAGCCTATTATGGTGTCGGGGCCCTTGATATTGCAGGAATATTGCTTAAAACGGCATAAAACTCAACTCACTCCTCACTATCTCCTCCGGGCACTGTCTTGTATTTTCAGAGTTCATGTGTCAACCAAGCCGCGCGGTCACAACGATCCCCTGATGGCATGTGTAAGTTGTGCACCTGTACATGATGGAAGAACACTAATACCTGTAACTTGTTATATAACGCTGGAGGCCAGTCAAGTAAACAAACGCCGAGAATAAATCTGAAGTACAACATCTTGTGGGTGATTCTATTAGAACAGGTCCGCAGTACCACTTCCTGTGGGGGATTCCATTAGGATAGGTCCGCAGTACCACTTCCTGTGGGGAATTCCATCAGGATAGGTCCGCAGTACCACTTCCTGTGGGGGATTCCATCAGGATAGGTCCGCAGTACCACTTCCTGTGGGGGAATTCCATCAGGATAGGTCCGTAGTACCTCTTCCTGTGGGGAATTCCATTAGGATAGGTCCGCAGTACCACTTCCTGTGGGGGAATTCCATTAGAACAGGTCCGCAGTACCACTTCCTGTGGGGGATTCCATTAGGATGGGTCCGCAGTACCACTTCCTGTGGGGGAATTCCATCAGGATAGGTCCGTAGTACCTCTTCCTGTGGGGAATTCCATTAGGATAGGTCCGCAGTACCACTTCCTGTGGGGGAATTCCATTAGAACAGGTCCGCAGTACCACTTCCTGTGGGGGAATTCCATTAGAACAGGTCCGCAGTACCACTTCCTCTGGGGGATTCCATTAGGATGGGTCCGCAGTACCACTTCCTGTGGGGGAATTCCATTAGAACAGGTCCGCAGTACCACTTCCTGTGGGGGATTCCATTAGGATGGGTCCGCAGTACCACTTCATGTGGGGGATTCCATTAGGATAGGTCCGCAGTACCACTTCATGTGGGGGATTCCATTAGGATAGGTCCGCAGTACCACTTCCTGTGGGGGATTCCATTAGGATAGGTCCGCAGTACCACTTCATGTGGGGGATTCCATTAGGATAGGTCCGCAGTACCACTTCCTGTGGGGGATTCCATTAGAATATGCCCCCAGTAACAGGTTCTCGTGCACATTACTATAACTGATGTATCTTGCCATGTACCTGTAGGCTGCCGTCACACAGCTAGATTATAGTTGTACTGATCCGGGGGATGGCCGGGGTAGCCTAGTGGTTAAAGCGTTCGCTCGTCACTCCGAAGACCCGGGTTCGATTCCCCACGTGGGTACAATGTGTGAAGCCCGTTTCCGAAGCCTTTGCATGTGTTTGTGACGGGTTTCACCTGTGGGACATACACTCACCTTTTCGCAAACTATTTCATCGTGGTATAGTGGGAATCGTACAATCACCTCCAACAGAGGATATGGAAATACTTGTAGATATGGCAATACTTGTAGATATGGGAATACTTGTAGATATGGCAATACTTGTAGATATGGAAATACTTGTAGATATGGCAATACTTGTAGATATGGAAATATGTGGCAATACTTGTAGATATGGCAATACTTGTAGATATGGAAATACTTGTAGATATGGCAATACTTGTAGATATGGAAATACTTGTAGATATGGCAATACTTGTAGATATGGAAATACTTGTAGATATGGCAATACTTGTAGATATGGCAATACTTGTAGATATGGCAATACTTGTAGATATGGAAATATGTGGCAATACTTGTAGATATGGAAATACTTGTAGATATGGAAATACTTGTAGATATGGCAATGGTTTTGTCTCTATTTAGTAACTCCCTCTCGATAGTTGCATTGCCCTATCATTGACAAACGTGTGATTTCCCGGACAAGCAAAGTACAGAGTGGATGTTCATTTCCTAAAGATTAGATGACTCATACTGTATATACAGCCAGTGTTGTGGATCCCTTAAATATCGCTTTTTAGACGATCTCTCTATATTTGTAGGAATCGTGCACTTCACTAACTGGACCCAACTCCATCCTTGTTTCGTTAATTCAACAGATGCTTCCGGTCACGTGATCGCAGTGTCTGATGTACTGGAGATGCAGGATGAAGGTCAGGTCGACCAACGTGAATCCGGGGACGTGGACCGTGTTGGCGTGGACCGTGTTGGCGTGGACCGTGAAGACGTGGCCAATGATGACGTGGATGTCAACTACCACTCTCTGAGAAATACTGGTACAGCCTATTTGCGAAACATGGGGGACAAGGGGAAGACAGGTCCCAACACTATATTGCCTGTGACAACCTAAAAAGTCTGGATATCCAGGAACAATGCCAAAATTACTGTTAACTTTGTATTTTATAATGTGGGTGCGAAGATATACTAAAATGTGAACACTTCCGCTATTATCGTTGATTTCAAGATGTTTCCCTAAATGGCAGTCTGTGACGAATTTTTCAATGGCGATAATGTTGTTGTTTTATTTATCAAAATTAGATTCCACGATTAGTTTACCAGGAGAATACAAGACTGACTTGGTTGCAGGACTGTCTCCCAACACGGCATCAGACAACCCCTGGTGGCAGACCCCGGTAGTTATCCTGACCATGGCCATCCTCCTCACCGTGCTGATGGGCGGAAGTGCCTTGTTGATGCACAGGCGCAGAATGACTTCCGTTTCTCTGGCATGAGTGGCGTGAAACCTCTGACGGTAATCTGGTTCAGAGTCTAAATAAACGGTTCGCAGTACTTTTACCTTTTTGTTGATTTCTCATTTTACCTTCACAATCCTTCTTGTGAGTTTGACGATGGTTCCACGCGAGATGGGACCTGTGAAGATTCCATGTCATCGTATCCCAGTTGCGTAGATCGATGCTTATGTCAGTCACTGGATTGTCTGGTCCATACTCGATTATTTACAGACCGCCGTCATATAGCTGGAGTATTGCGGCGTAAAACACTCGAAACGTCTGGTCTTTGTTATAGTAAGACATGTCAATGTATATTTCCATCAAGTACTTCGTCCAAATTGGATATGAAATGTGAATCATTCTTGCTACGAGTGAGGTTCCTTAATTTCATTGTCATGCCACTGGCCATACTTTTAAGATGGAAAAAATATCGTCCAAGTTTGTCTCAGCCTATAAAGGCCACATTCAGCATTATTGCAGATGCGATCTCTAAGTGACCCAACGCCAGACGAATCAGTAACTGATAATCCACGGAATCCGATATGACCTGTTGGTGTGTAGTGACAGTCGGCCTTCCAGGCCACCCGATCTACTCTGACGTCCCAGACCCCCTGATCCACTCCCCCGACGTCCCAGACACCCGATCCGCTCCCCCGACGTCACAGATCACCCGATCCACTCCCCCGACGTCCCAGACCACCCGATCCACCCCGACGTCTCATACCACCCAATGCATTGTCGCAACATGTACATTATGTGCACTGTTTATGTTCATGGTGGCAGTTAACATTCGTAACATCAGGAACAATATTACATTGTTCTTCTCTGTACGTGACGTCTGTTGGCGTCTTGGTGCGGAGCAGATCGACTGTGGTATATGTTCACAAACAAATTGCTCTTGAACAGGACACATGAACATTCAACCTGACAAGGAGCCAGTCTGCCTGCATCATCAACTCTGACAAATTGAGTCTCCCGTGTGGCTTTTGACGTGAAAAATACCGACAAGAGTGGACAAAAGTTAAGAAAAGTAAATTTTTAGATTAATCGCGCAATCGGTAGGATAAACAGTCACGTGACAAATTTGCACGTGCCACTCGCTTACCTGGCTGTTACCTGAGTTGTCGACATCGCTACACCCTTGTCTCAAATCGTGATATAGTTAATGAAAACAATGATGGTTTGTTTAACAACTTTTTTTTATTTTGTAGACAAAACTTATAACAATTTTGCAGCGTTGGTGTGTTTTTCCTATTTACTTTGGCGTTGGTTTGTGATTTATGATTATTTGATTTTGAGTTCGAGTGCAGTTCCTTGAGGAGATTTTGACTCGAGCGGACTGTGGTACTATGTCCCGACAGACATCCTGATCTCACCCAAGCAATATCACCTGTGGAGGATAAACTAAAATAATCCTTACCATTTCTCAAAGTATTAGTGAATGGTCCTCAGGCCTAAAAATGTGTTCTCTTTTTGGCCATTATACACCTTTTGTCAAGTTTAATTACCCCTGACAATCGCTTACAAGAACTCGACCCAAGTTCATTATAAGAAGCAAGTGTCTCCGAGGTTCACCACCAACAGCGTGATCAATGTTGTCCACTGTATGTCTACAACAGACGTTCATCGCATATTGACGAGATATAGTTCCGTCAAACAAGCGCCCATCTTTCTCTGTCACCGCTACAAGCCCCATACACTCTACTACCGCTAAGTGACAACGCACACAACGGGGCCCCATTATCCAGGAACTATAGCAATAACGGCAGTATAAGCAGGTCCCATTCTACAGCGCGCCTTAAGCGAAAGGTCACCTCCTATACATACGACGTGCAAATAGCGCGATAACCCTCCCTTAGAAAGTTTCATATTAAGTAGCGGCCGTATTTGTTCAGAGTGACACCAATTTATATCTGTACACCTTTGCATTGGCAAATCGCCAACTTCAAAAGCCCCACATTCTCCCAGCTTCGATCTGGTAGTACCCAACGACCGACCAATCTACAAACAAACAAGGCCGTTCCGATCTTGACGTGCGGCGCAAAGATCGCCATATTTTTGAAGTTTCTGGTAACTCCAGTCAAAGTTGAGTCTTGCTCCAGTGTTGTAAGTACTCTTTAGCGTTTTACAACTCATAATAATATGATTTACTGTGCCTAAGGAGCCATCATGACCCCGATGTAGGTCCGTTATTGATAAATATGACCCCATCTGGGGTAGAATATGGCTGAAGAGAATGGCTTCCCCAAAAGCCGACAGCAGTCTGTGTTGTTCGGCCTTCCCGATCTCGTCGGGAGCTGATGACACGCCCTGTTTGTAATAGAATACGTCTGAAAGTGACAATGTGACCGTATGTCGCCACTTGAAAGGGCCCCGAACGTGTTATGTCGCGTTATCCAACTGACTGTTTATACGTCAATAATCGAACGTGCCTTGTATCAATTACAGAACAATCTCAGCTCGGAGCTAAATACAGTACTTTATTTGTTGGGCAGGTACACATACATTACCATAGTCATGTCATCAAATACCCTAAAAGTTTACATCTGTTCACCTAAAGCGACTGAGTAGGATTTTACGCCGCTTTTAGCATTACCAGACCAATATTATGACCAATGACGGCTTCAGAAATTGTACCTAAATACAGAATCAAACGATGAAATGAGAGAACGCTTTGATCACTTAAATACCAAATTGTCTCTTGACTAAGAACAGTCTCCCATCCATTCTCTATTCATCTTCCGTCTTCAGATACTATAGTCCGTTTGGCTCAAAATCGGACTGATGAATTGCAGTCGAACTCGTAAACAACTAAACATAAAATAAAAATAATAATAATCATCATCATCATCATAACATCAGACCAACTGATTTTTTTGCAGAATTTATGGCCTAAAAATAAAAAGTTGTTAATAAACTATCATTAAAGTCTTGACACAGTTCACTATGTGTTACGAGGGAGGATTGCAAAGGGAGGAACAGCCAGGTTTACGCGAAGCACGTGCACAAGTGCTGACAAAGTCATTGATTCCTTAACCTGGGCTGTGCCGTCTCCATCCTTTCTTGCACACATGGCTGTTCCTCTCTTTGCAGCCCTCCCTCGTAACAAATAGTGAACTGTGTCAAGATTTTAATGATAGTTTATTAACAACTTTTTTAATTTTAGGACATAAATTCTGAAAACAATCACGGAGTTGGTCTGATGTTTTGATTATGCTCAGTGTTTCATTGAGTACTATATGTTAAGTAGTTTTCGAGTTAGATTGCAATTCGTCGGTCCGCTTCTGAGCCACGGACTATACGGTCTTGCTTGAGGGTAGAGATCAACCAAACTTGGCTCAAAACCTTAGTTAAACTGATTGACAGATGAAAAGATCATTTCTGTGCTCGTTTACTATGAGTAAAATGTATCCATTCCGTAATTGAGAAACCACTCGTATCTGTTGTTTCGAGAAATAGTGGGTAGACCCCGAAGGTTAATTCTCCGCCACAAATTCACTGACCATTCGGAGAAAATTGAAACAAGTAACATTGACACAACTGTGGTTCGATGTGCAAAGTAATAGAGAAATATGTCATTATATACTACTCACACTTTGCTAAGGATCACACAAATTCACAGCTTTACTTACACGTAGAGATATGATTTGAAATTGTATCCATTTAAAAATGGATAAATAATAATATGGTAACACCTTCCAGGCAAACAGACACTGTAATCTAACATTATGCACTTGATACATGAGTAACCATAAAAATGGTTTTCATGGCACCAATCAACCATTTTGCATATCATGGTACGGGTCATGGACAAGTACACAACACTTGTCAATATCAGGTAATTGATCCACAAGATGAAATGACATACTGAAACCAAGGATCCATGCTTGAAATAGCTTAGATATTTAAACCAAATTTGACCCTATATGATAGTTTTCTTTTGGATCCATGACTTGATCCTTAGCAAAGCGTGGATAGTATATAACATGGTTCAAGCTGAAATATTCAGCGTGTTGATCCTGGGCTCGTTATTCTACCTCCGGAATCAACCGATTCTCAATAACTATTTCAGCAGAAATAATACATGTCCCTGATTGTTCTACGATTATTGTTAAGGAATTCATGACTTGTATGGAGTATCCATACACTTCCTGGTGTTGCATTATGGGTATTTAGATCAACCAGGATTTCAGATTTCAGTGGAAAGACTTTATACCAGGGGAGAATTCCTTTCGTGATGCAGTAACCATCCTCATCCAAAACAGAACCTTAAACCTCGTGCCTCTACTGAGACATACAGTAATCATTCCAGCTCATACCCAGTGATCGAAATCAATAGGTTTCCTGCGTAATGCATTGTGGGTAATATTGATTATATCATTGTACCTGTACCCGTCCCTGTTCACGAGCATCAACTGTGTTGTAAGCAATGCACTGCTTCCATACAATATTACCATAATGTCTACTGTGCCTGAATGTCGACATCTCACCCGACACACGGTACCAGCTTTCAGGGAGGTATTCAGGCTTGGCATGGCTATATGTTCCGGATTTTGGGGTTGTTTATATTTTTGTTTCAACTTTGGTTTTTTATTTTATGTTCATTTTATTCTATTTTTTTAGTGATTTTGGTTTTGTTTGTCGGGTGAGGCTTATTATGGTATATTGCATGTATATTTGGTCATATTATGAGTATGTTAAAATATTATATTGTGTAGTATGTCAAAATTTATTATATATGTTTAAATATTGCGGGTATATTACACTATTGTTGGAACACAGTGGGTATAATGTGGGTGTGTGGCAGGTATACAATATACCACGTATCATGTCACTGTCGCCTCCACATATTTCAGACTTGTTTACGACATTAGGGTTGGACACTTTCAACGCTATACAAACCGTTCCGATGACTTACAGTCGTCAAATACACAGCGATAAGAATACTTAACCCCGACCACGTTACATGTCTGCAGTAGGTTTCAGTCCAATGTCACTGTGCAATCATTGATTTTATTTTTTAGTGGCTCTGTGTTTGTTGTTGGAGTATTGTCAGACTTGCTCACCTGTGTTAGTCTCCAGGTGTACGTACAGGTATTAACTGGTCTCCCCGACTGAACCTTCTCACGTCGGCAACTTTGAAAACCAACACATCTCCGATATAAACGCCGAATGTTCTATTCCGATACAGCTTATATAAGACAATAAACATTTGACTTCGGGTTACATTTGAATATAAAGCACTGCCTACTCCTCTGAGCTTTGTATTCACAAATGATTACTTCCCATCACTTCAAACACTCACTATATGTTGTATATCAGCAGTTGTAATAGCAGTAACGATAGTAAAAATGTTATAAAACACTAGAAAGAGTACTCACACCTCTAGACCAGGACTAGGCGAGTGGGTCATGCTCCCCCGCCACAGATTTATTCGGCGTTCTACTTGCACATAATCGACCACTCCTTTCTCCAGGTAGTCCGACACGCAGGTTACGGTGTCCTGTGATGAGCCACCCCCTTCACCAAGTCCTGAACACCTACGTACCCCTACCCCCTTCACCAAATCCTGAACACCTACGTACCCCCACCCCATCACCAAGTCCTGAACACCTACATATCCCCACCCCTTCACCAAGTCCTGAACACCTACTGAACACCTACATATCCCCCACCCCCTTCACCCTTCAACAAGTCCACGTCCTATGAACACCTATGCCCCCCACCCCCTTCACCAAGTCATGAACACCTACGTACCCCCAACCCCTTCACCCCCCTAAATCCCCTGAACACCTACATATCCCCACCCCCTTCACCAAGTCCTGAACATCTTCACATATCCCCCCACCCCTTCAACAAGTCATGAACACCTACGTACCCCCACCCCCCTTCACCAAGTCCTGAACACCTACATACCCCTCCTACATTCACCAAGTCCAGAACACCTACGTACCCCCCACCCCCTTCACTAAGTCCTGAACACCTACATATCCCCACCCCTTCACCAAGTCATGAACACCTACGTACCCCCACCCCTTCACCAGATCCTGAACACCTCCATGTATCCCCAACCCCTTCACCAAGTCCTGAACAACTACATATCCCCATCCCTTCACCACGTCCTGAACACCTACATATCCCCACCCCTTCACCCTTCCACGTCCTGAACGCCACATATCCCCACCCCCTTAACCAAGTCATGAACACCTACATATCCCCATCCCTTCACCAAGTCCTGATCACCTATGTTCTCCCACCCCTTCACTAAGTCTTGAACACCTACATACGCCCCACCCCTTCACCATGTCCTGAACACCTACGTACTAGCACCCCTTCACCAAGTCCTGAACACCTACGTATCCTCAACTCCCTCCCAAGTCCTGAACACTCCATATCCCCACCCTTCACCAAGTCCTGAACACCTTACCCCACCCCTTCACCAAGTCCCAAACACCCTTCCACCCCTCTCACCAAGTCCTGAACACCTACATATCCCCACCCCTTCACCAAGTCCTGAACACCTACATGTACCTCCCACCCTTCACCCCCTAGAACACCTCCATGATACCCTTTCACCAAGTCCTGAACACCTACATATCCCCTGTCATGAACACCCCACCCCCCCCTTCACTCAGATCAAGTCCTGAACACCTACATATCCCCACCCCTTCACCAAGTCCTGAACACCTACATATCCCCACCCCTTCACCAAGTCCTGAACACCTACGTACCCCCCACCCTTCACTTCACCTCCTGAACACCTACATATCCCCACCCCCTTCACCAAGTCCTGAACACCTACATATCCCCACCCCTTCACTCAAGTCCTGAACACCCCCACCCCTTCACCACAAGTACACCCATATCCCCACCCCTTCACCAAAGTCCTGAACACCTACACCCCACCCCCTTTCACCCCTGAACACCTACGTACCCCCCACCCCTCTTCACCAAGTTCACCTACATACCCCCACCCCTTCACCAAGTCCTGAACACCCTACATATCCCCACCCCTTCACCAAGTCCTGAACACCTACATATCCCCAAACCCTTCACCACCACGTCCTCCTGAACACCCTTGAACCCTACGTACTTCCCCCTCTTCACCCCTTCACTTCTACAAGTCCTGAACACCTACGTACTCCCCACCCCCTTCACTCTCAAGTCCTGAACACCTCCATGTACCCCCACCCCTTCACCAAGTCCTGAACACCTACGTATCCCCACCCCTTCACCAAGTCCTGAACACCTACGTATCCCCACCCCCTTCACCAAGTCCTGAACACCTACATATCCCCTTGATAATACTAACTGTGTCTATAGGTTTAAATACAAGACCCAGAATCGTATAGTATACACACACCGAGACACACACACTGACACGGACACCCCACACACACACACCGAGACACACACTGACACGGAGACGCATACACACGCCGAGACACACACTGACACGGAGACGCATACACACCTAGACACACACACTTACACGTACAAGGATACACACACCGAGACACACACACTGACAGGGAGACGCATACACACACCGAGACACACACTGACACGGAGACGCATACACACCTGGAGACACACACACACTTACACGTACAAGGATACACACACCGAGACACACACACTTACACGGACACGCATACACACACCGAGACACACACACTGACACGGAGACGCATACACACCTAGACACACACACTTACACGTACAAGGATACACACACCGAGACACACACACTGACACGGAGACGCATACACACACCGAGACACACACACTGACAGGGAGACGCATACACACACCGAGACACACACCGACACGGAGACGCATACACACCTAGACACACACAATTTTACATCGTACAAGGATACACACACCGAGACACACACACTCGACACGGACACGCATACACACACCGAGACACACCACACTGACACGGAGACGCATACACACCTAGACACACAGGACACACTTACATACGTACAAGGATACACACACCGAGACACACACACTGACAGGGAGACGCATACACACACCGAGACACACACACTGACACGGAGACGCATACACACACCGAGACACACACACTGACACGGACACGCATACACACCTAGACACACACACTTACACGTACAAGGATACACACACCGAGACACACACTCTGACACGGACACGCATACACACACCGAGACACACACTGACACGGAGACGCATACACACACCGAGACACACACACTGACACGGACACGCATACACACACCGAGACACACACACTGACATGGACACGCACACACACACTACGGTTGTAAAGTTGGACTCAGTCAATCCGTTGCCCCCAGTAACCAAACTGTACCACCAAGCGACGTGAGCTAAGACCAGCCTGGCGATCTGATAGTGATTTAATAAGGGGCCAGTGTTCCCAGGAAGTCTGTGAGTGTTGAGTCGAAGACAATCACACAGATTATTGACAGGAAACCCGGATAGCTTGGGCAGGTGTCCTTAATGGGGCAGTACACCAGAGTTGACACTGATAACGTTGCCAGATAGCATGTTACCACTGTGATACCTGACTGTGTAGGACACCGAACGCTGCACTCCTCTCCCAGACAAGGAACAGGGTTAGAATCCCCACCTCGACACGATAGGTAAAGTCCTGGGTTTGAATCCTAGATTCCCGTTATGAACCTTGTTCTGTCACTATCCGTGCTTGTAGATCTCTCCAAAGGTGTATCTTCCATTGACCCGAATCATGTTTTGCGTTCCTGGAACACACTTGAAATTTACCCGATGATATAATTGGAATAAAAGCAGATTAAACTAAATGCGCTCAAGTACAGTGAGTAGAGCAGTGTATGCATTGGTTAGCTTGCAGTGTAGCATAAACCTATCTAAGTTGCATACAAGCGTGCAGTGTTGCACATGTTCCTCACTACAATGTAAAAATATTCTAAAACACAAAGCTATACATGTTCCTTTTGCCAATAATGTTTACATGGTCAAATGATGTTTAACAGGTAAAATTGTTATGAGTCTTAATGTGGGTGTGGCTGTAACTGAATAAACTTATGGGCCAATCGTAATAATGGGATATGTTTTCATCGTCAGCCTTCCGCTTCCTCCGTGAGAGAAATACATTAATTTTGGTCACTTTATAAAACGGCGGGATACACACCAGCTACCTCTCGAGTTGACCTACTTCACGCTACCACTTGTGTCTAACGTCAAGTTTCCGAGTCACAATTAACATCACTCAGTATATTTGTACATTTTACATTAATTTACCAATTTCGTTGGGGTATTTTTCTGGTTGTATATGCGTGGCGGTATGAAAGTGCCTGTGAATCTGTGTCTCACCTTTACTTTTAGCAAGTATTACACATCTTATCCATATGGGACTTAATGTCCAATAATATGCCCTTTGAATAAACAATGTCATTTGGAAAGTGGTCATATCTAACACATTTAGGTGGAACTCACTCAGTGTGTATTCTGTTGGGACACATTCCTTGACATTATTTGTATGTACTTGAGTTGCCATCTGGCTGTTATGTCGCGTTACTTTTGCTGCAGGGTGTACGGTGAAGCATGGCCTATTTTGACGCCGTCTACCCCCAGGTGCACTACACGCAGCTCCCCAGCAGACCCTCAACGGTAAGTGCTGTGCGACGACGCTGGCAACAGCACCGTTTACGACATCATCGCAGATACCAATTTGTCAAAACCGCATTTGTGAAGGGCTCACATTACTTCTCCTTTTAAACAAACTGGTGTGTCTCAACGAGCACGTGTGTTTCACTCAGCCTTCTTGTGTATCCTACCACTAGCATGAGTTGTCCCCTTCCCTGTGGTGTTCAGTCGACTCATCACGATGTCTTTGTTGTACAGGACATCGTGTTTTATCAAACAGTAGACTTTCAGCGCCACATTAGGTATGTTTCTCAATTAAAACACGTGATCATATGTGACGTAAGTGCTTTCCCTGTGACGTTATACCTCGCTCATACTTACACTGGTGTCCAACAGTGAGTGAGTGAGTGAGGTTTATCGCAATATTAAAAAAACATCACAGCGAGGAACACCAGAAATGGCTTGACACCTTGTAACCAAGTCGAGATTCGAACACGGTCATTCCACCTCGTGAGTGGACGTTTACTACCCTAACTTGGACAACTTCCCTACCCCACGACCCCTGTCTCACACATGATGACTAAGATATACACCTTAAATCCAAACTAAACATATGCGGCCAGGGGCGTAGCTACCATAATATATAAGGCCCGGGCTTACACGTGATTGTTGCTAAAAGTCCTGGACAAGCCCTTAATACTATCTAGATATGAAGTTGTGTAACCTATCGGGCTTACACGAAAAAATGGCATGCTACACGCCTGCCTTCCACATACATTGTGAAATATATTGTTAGGAAACTGACATTACTGGTCAGTTTAAATGTTCCGTTGCCAGGGAACAAACGCCAAGCAGAACGGAGGCTTCTACTGAAGCTTCCTCTAAAGCTTGAATCAGTGTTCATACAACCACTTGACCTGGTAAAATGCGACATACGACCAAATCAAATATGGGTGTATGTATCGTGACCAAACACATAGATACTCCTAATAGACATCAACACTCCACAACACAAGCTCCCGGTTACTTGTGCAGTAATGAGACTCTGTATATCGCCAATAATCCGGAATACAGCTCATTCCTGTAGTTTATGAACGTGTCCGTCTTACGAAGCCGCTAATGCAATCAATACTGTTCCGAGAATGCCATTATTCGTTACTTTCTATGGCCATGTTTCACCCAAGTCAATCATTTTTGTCGTATGAATGCAAGTCAAGAACGATAACTCTGCTCGACCTTGTCATGTTGTGCAAATGTATTGTATGTATTTAGTCTTGTATGTTGAGGGAGCAATCTTTGTCACTTGTTGACAATTTAAGTACGCTCTCGAGTAGCGAGCCCAGTTAGCTAGTGGTATCGGTGGTCGCTACGGCGACGGCTGTCGCGGAGGGACCGTTCAGTGAATAGAAATCTCAGTGCTTTGAGTTTTTCAAGTGAGATTGGAATCGTGTTGAGGTTTTGACATGGCGTTCTGTAACGGATTTTCTCCCACTGACAAGCTTAGGAAGTTAGAAGAACAGGAGAAGGAGGGGAACAGTAAAACAAATAACCCTGTAAGTTGAGTTTCAAATGTTAAGATCAGATCTATGTCAATGTGTTAAGGTTTGTGGAGTGTTTGAATGAGTTATGTCGAGACATCCTAACTCCTGTCAATCTCACCGTCGTTAGGTCTTCAAAAATAGATTGAATTAAAATACTGCCTGAACACACTGTCTACTATTGTTGTTGCAGTCGTTCCTGTGTGTAATGGTGTGTTTGATGGTTAGAGGGAGATCATGCTTGCCCCATGACCAGGCAATATCTAATATACATGTATATTTAATTATTGCAAAACAAGACACTTCTTGTATATATACATACGTAATATACACATAATACATTTGTTGAACGAGGAATATGCACATCAAAGATGCGCAGTGGCGTTAAGGACAAGTTATGCGCAGACATTACAGGAGCGTAGGAACGGTTTTCAGAGGGGGGGGGCTAATTTATGAAAAGTATTGAAAATCAAAATGAAATTGTAGTTATGGTAAGGTAGATATGGTTTCATCTCATCAAGGCCCCACCCCCTGTTCCTACGCCCCTGCATTATTATGCCGGTTAATCCAAGTACGTGTAAGACGCGAGAAGGTTAACAGTCATATGGCCATCTTATCCCACCGGGTACCCATTCGCTGCTGGGTGAACTTAGGCAATTTTGAACTAACTCACATCCCAAAGATGAGGCCACATGTGTCACATGTGCTTCGTTGTTGGGCAGGACTGAAGTGTTAGAAACTCTCTGGAGTCAAGCTGCCAAACACCGTCACTTGTTTGTGACTGCTACCATGAGGTCACACCATTACCATCAGTGGCACCATGAGGTCACACCCGTACCATCAGTGGCACCATGAGGTCACACCCGTACCATCAGTGGTACCATGAGGTCAAACCATTACCATCAGTGACACCATGAGGTCACACCATTACCATCAGTGGCACCATGAGGTCACACCCGTACCATCAGTGGCACCATGAGGTCACACCCGTACCATCAGTGGCACCATGAGGTCACACCATTACCATCAGTGGCACCATGAGGTCACACCATTACCATCAGTGGTACCATGAGGTCACACCATTACCATCAGTGGCACCATGAGGTCACACCATTACCATCAGTGGTACCATGAGGTCACACCATTACCATCAGTGACACCATGAGGTCACAACATTACCATCAGTGGCACCATGAGGTCACACCATTACCATCAGTGGCACCATGAGGTCACACCATACCACATCAGTGGCACCATGAGGTCACACCATTACCATCAGTGGCACCATGAGGTCACACCATTACCATCAGTGGCACCATGAGGTCACACCATTACCATCAGTGGCACCATGAGGTCACAACATTACCATCAGTGGCACCATGAGGTCACAACATTACCATCAGTGGCACCATGAGGTCACAACATTACCATCAGTGGCACCATGAGGTCACACCATTACCATCAGTGACACCATGAGGTCACAACATTGCCATCAGTGGTACCATGAGGTCACAACATTACCATCAGTGGTACCATGAGGTCACAACATTACCATCAGTGGCACCATGAGGTCACAACATTACCATCAGTGACACCATGAGGTCACACCATTACCATCAGTGACACCATGAGGTTACACCATTACCATCAGTGGTACCATGAGGTCACAACATTACCATCAGTGACACCATGAGGTCACAACATTACCATCAGTGGTACCATGAGGTCACAACATTACCATCAGTGACACCATGAGGTCACACCATTACCATCAGTGGTACCATGAGGTCACAACATTACCATCAGTGACACCATGAGGTCACAACATTACCATCAGTGACACCATGAGGTCACAACATTACCATCAGTGACACCATGAGGTCACAACATTACCATCAGTGGTACCATGAGGTCACAACATTACCATCAGTGACACCATGAGGTCACAACATTACCATCAGTGGTACCATGAGGTCACAACATTACCATCAGTGACACCATGAGGTCACAACATTACCATCAGTGGTACCATGAGGTCACAACATTACCATCAGTGGCACCATGAAGTCACACCATGACCGTCTGTTACTTTGTGAGGTCACACCACTACCGTATGTTACTTTATGAGGTCACACCACTACCGTATGTTACTTTACGAGATCACATCATTACCGTCTGTTACCTTATGAGGTCATACCATTACCGTCTGTTACTTTAGGAGGTCACACCATTACCGTCTGTTACTTTATGAGATCACACCATTACCGTCTGTTACTTTACGAGGTCACACCATTGCCATCTGTTACTTTATGAGATCACACCATTACCATCTGTTACTTTACGAGGTCACACCATTACCGTCTGTTACTTGGTGAGGTCACATCATTACCGTCTGTTACTTTACGAGGTCACAACATTACCGTCTGTTACTTTATGAGATCACACCATTACCGTCTGTTACTTTACGAGGTCACACCATTACCGTCTTTTATTTGGTGAGGTCACACCATTACCGTCTGTTACTTTATGAGGTCACACCATTACCGTCTGTTACTTTACGAGGTCACACCATTACCGTCTGTTACTTGGTGAGGTCACATCATTACCATCTGTTATTTTACGAGGTCACACCATTACCATCTGTTACTGTACGAGGTCACACCATTACCGTCTGTTACTTTACGAGGTCACAACATTACCATCTGTTACTTTACGAGGTCACACCATTACCGTCTGTTACTTTACGAGGTCACACCATTACCATCTGTTACTTTACGAGGTCACAACATTACCATCTGTTACTTTACGAGGTCACACCATTACCATCTGTTACTTTACGAGGTCACACCATTACCATCTGTTACTTTACGAGGTCACACCATTACCATCTGTTACTTTACGAGGTCACACCATTACCATCTGTTACTTTATGAGGTCACACCATTACCATCTGTTACTTTAGGAGGTCACACCATTACCATCTGTTACCTTATGAGGTCACACCATTACCATCTGTTACTTTATGAGGTCACACCATTACCATCTGTTACCATGAGGTCACACCATTACCATCTGTTACTTGGTGAGGTCACACACCATTACCATCTGTTACTTTTACGAGGAGGTCACACCATTACCATCTGTTACTTGGTGAGGTCACACCATTACCATCTGTTACTTTATGAGGTCACACCATTACCATCTGTTACTTTATGAGGTCACACCATTACCATCTGTTACTTTTATGAGGTCACACCATTACCATCTGTTACTTTATGAGGTCACACCATTACCGTCTGTTACTTTACGAGGTCACACCATTACCATCTGTTACTTTATGAGGTCACACCATTACCATCTGTTACTTTACGAGGTCACACCATTACCGTCTGTTACTTGGTGAGGTCACACCATTACCATCTGTTACTTGGTGAGGTCACACCATTACCATCTGTTACTTGGTGAGGTCACACCATTACCATCTGT